AACAGCAGCCACCGAGGCGGATAGTTCGGAACCTCTCGAGGAAAAGGCTGATACGGACGAACGAATCCCGTTGGGCACAAATGTAGTCGAAAAACGACGAGGCACAAAAAGACCGATCCATCCTTGGTATGTGAGCGTCAAGTACATGGACAGCGAGGGTAAGCTGCGTACCTCTGTGTGGAAAACGTTTGATATCTTTAATTGCCTGACCTGTATCGCCGTTTGAACTGAATCGTAGAAACCCAGTTTTCAAAGCAAGGTTGTTGTACATTTAGAAACAGCATCTGCGAATGCTTGATTGTTGGTCGAAACTACGTAGTTCCAAGACATCATCTTTTACACCTACATATGGAAAAAATTCGAATTTCCGTGATGTCATCCTTTGCTCTGAAAGAATAAGCATATTGAACATTGAACATGAGCTTATTGAAATATGTCATTATTTGCGTTTCGTAAATGTGACTGCCGGATTGAGGGACAGTGTGTGATTTCAAAGCAGCGTCGACCGCGCTATGAAAACTACGAATTAAATTTCGGTGCACAGCCTTTGCAGAAAATACATTATATACAATGTGTCCAAGAAAAACATCGTACAAATAAACATGAGGAAACTGGTGGCAGCAACTGCCCTTAAACTTGCCTTTCTGTCAGTTCGACAGCGATGCGAATCTTATTTCCTACCCTTCAATAACGACGCAGATGTTTACTGTATTTTTTTGTATGATCCGCAAGTAGGATTAGATGCCCATATCTAAAATGGATTTGCAATTGTAACGGATCGGTCTAAACCCTTTGTATTTGGAGTTTATATTAGGTTTTATTCAGGTGGCATATTAAATGAATTTTTGCCATGTATAGGATGTCACATAAATGTGCGAAGCAGATTTCATTCATTCATTCGAAGCAGATTTCATTTCTCGTATATATACATGATATATGGATCCATATTTGACTGATTGTAACAGAGTCACATTCTATCCATCCTGGTCAGAGGTCTGACGTCAAGATTGTGACTTTGTTACAATCAGTCAAATATGGATCCATATTTGACTGATTGTAGCAAAGTCACAATCTTGACGTCAGACCTCTGACCAGGATGGATAGAATGTGACAGTTTAAAATTTGTTATTAAAATTCAGCTATTTATGAGATCTATGCATTGTCACTCTTCAGATATGACTTCATTTGTTTTTATATAATTTACACTTTGCACCCTGTGCTGACCTTTTTAGCTAACAGATTTGTCGACGTGCATTTCAGCCTCCAGGCACCGGCATCTGATAACATATTGACATATTTCATCATAAGACGCTTATTGTAAAACCATCATAATATTGGCCATAAATTATAAAGAAATTTCTCTTGCAGCCATC